ATTTGATTTGAAAATCTATATTTGAATTTGATTTGAAATCAAATATTTGAATCAAATCAAATTAAATCAAATCAAATGTGAAACCCTACTAGTTATAGCATCTTATGCTAGCATACCCAATTAAGTTAATATATCTGTTGATATACAGATTAATATTCAATAATCATCATGTTAGAAATTGAACTCTGGATCTGCCACTTGTGGGGTGACAACTTGACCACTTTACTAAGTTATCACACTACTTGAAATTTTTATTGACAATCAACCCTCCTAATTACTATTACAAATTGCAAAAAACAACTTGATCTATTTACAACTTACATTTTATACAGATAGTTCAGTTAAAAATATTACTACAGAGTATTATACTAGTGAAATTAGTTGGGTTCAAACCTCAAATAATATAATTATTCAATATATTTAACAAAAATCTAACTTTAGCCATCATTATGCAAAGCTGAACTTATTGCAATACTTTCTGCTATTAGTATATGTCATAGAAACAGTTTTAAACAATATATACAGACTCATAATCAATTATATAAAAATATAAAAAGTTTAAACAGTTACTACTAACAATTAACAAAAATACCTATATAACTACTGGTCTATATAGCACACTTTGTTTAATATTATTAAAGCCTATGAATTAGATATTCAATTAGAAAAAGTACAGCTCATAGTAATAATATCTTTAATAATCTAGTAGATAAACTAGCAAAAATGCTTACTATTTGACTACATTACAATTTATAGATAATAACAAAACAATTTATTTATTATATCTTATTTAATATTAATAATTCACATTTCAACAACCAACCTGTAGATCTATTAAAAATATATATAATGCTCACATTATAGCAATGTGGTTATCTTAAAGATAGAGGGTATGTCGATCATTTTTCATACAAAATAGGTAGCAAAAATATTTGTGTAACATATTATTACACACATGAAAATCAAACACTCACATGCATATCTAGAATATTCTACAACCAAATATATATCTAACTTCTATATATTTCAATTTCATCGATAATTATGTTATCCTTATTACTGTTACATATATAATGGTAGAAGTTAATGATTATCATTATAAAGACATTAAATTTACTAACCATACAGTGGTAACTATAAACTTGCTTAAAAGCTTTACTTTGAAATTGTTCGAATCGTGAAAAAAAGAGGTTTAGAGCTTGTTACGCTCAAGGCTTGTGATTTGTAATTTAAACTGTACTTTATAAAAGCAACCTGCTCTTTCTGTTAGGTAACATTGTTTTATAATATACTTATACCTGTCAGATGCGCTATAAAAAAGGAGTTTTTTTTTGATCTAGAATCTAAATTCTTTTATAAAATAATGTTTCAGACCTACAAGATTTTAGTCAAATATTTTTGAACGCTATTAGAGGTAAGCAAATTAGTTTATTGTATAATATAAATTTTATTATTATCTCTGCAGAAATTTACTGATACTGGTCAAATTATTTAGTCTGCTTTTTTCCTTTTCATAAGCATACCCAATATTCACAACACATTTCTTTTGCATGTTCTTTAGCATTTTCAGCAATTCAATTTACGATTATATTACATAACATATAATTTGTTTTAGATTTTTGTAACCGTATTTCCTGCTTGACTAGATCTTTGCAGACCAAATCATTTAGAGCAATTCGTGCTATTTCTTTGAGAACTAAAATCGTTGGTAGCTTCTCTTCATATAGCTTTACCTCCTTTGTATTTCTTTGTAATGTAAGCTCATTATACCCATTTTTTCGAATTTTATCAGTATTTGATCTGCTAAATACATCAACAACATCATCAAATAAGACTTCTGTTAAATTATTCTTTGTTAATACCTCAACTACTTCTAACATTTTTAAAATTTCTAAAAGAGCATTAGTAAGTTGTGGATTTTCTTCATTTCTTCTTTGGCAATTGTCACAATTATTGCACTCATAATATAAGAAGATAATTCTGGCCAAAGATATTTGCACAAGAATTGACAACAATCATATTGTGTTGTACAAAAAGCTATTACATTAAAAAGATCTTTTTGCATAGTTTGCAAATATGCATCATGTATAGGATTTATACTTTCGCTGTCACTTTCATATATATATAGTTAATATGGTATAATCTTACATATTTAAAAACTTGAAATTAATATTATTATACCTTTGATCTTCAGCAATTATAGAGTAATTAGTTTGCAAATCTCTTAGTTTGAAAAATATTATATTTTTTGTTAGCTTTCTATCACAACCCAATAATTGTATAAGTTCAACTAGTAGAAACAAATACAGCATTAATACTAAGAGTTAAAAATAATATATGAAAACCTATCTAGTATTATAGGAAAAGTATGATGTAATATCAAGCGAATATCTGGTATGTTTATTCTCATTCCAAATGCAGTGGTTGCTATTATTATATGTGTTTTATTATTTTTTCATTTTTCTAATATATGCTTCTTATCTATACTATTTAGACCTCTATAATATATGTCTAATGAATAATTAGGCAAATTTACTTGAAGAAAATCTCTTATTTCTTCACAATCTTTTTTTCGTGCACAATATATAATTAATTTACTATCTTCAATATTGCGAATCAGCTTAGCCATTTCTTCAATTATTGTATCCTTTCTTTTTTTTTTGTTACAACTTCATACTTAATTTCTTGACGTAATAATTCTGTACTTCGAATTATTTCAAAATTATTTTGTTCAATATTTAGAGTTTCACAAATAGCTTCAATGTGTGCATTTGATGTAGTTGCGGTTAACAATAATAAAGATATAGTTGAATATCACTGTTTAAGAAATCCTAATCTTCCCCAAGATTCTCTATAAAATAAAATGGATATAGCAAATTATAACACATATAGAGACACCTATAGCAAAAGGGTTGTTACAAGTGGACTGTAGCCTTCTTAATACAGCTCAAGTAACAAAGCACACAGCTATAGAGCTCCATTGCGAGATTATAGCAGTGTGGAAGTGAAATGTTACTTCACTAAGAGCAGTTCATAGAAAGTATATAGTTAAAAAAAGATATATTTTATTTACAGTATATAAGACTTTAATTACAAGAAAGTATCCTATAACCAAAGAGGGTTTCTGTATC